TTTAGTTTAGGTTATTTATAACTTGGAGATATTAGCATGTACTTGCTATCTTGTAATTCAAGTATAAATAAAGTTATTGTATTGTATTGTATTGTATTGTATAATGGATGATGCCACCTCTGAGGGCTCACATAATCTCTCCAGAATGTAGACCTTCCCCCATACTGGCTCCCATTTAGCGCGATCATGACCTGCGATTTCTGCAACCTGGAAATAGTGGAAATAGTTAAATAGTGGAAATCATGAAAAGATGCTCAGCATTTGCATGACTTGCGTGTTATTATTATTATATATATTACATTATTAATTATTAGCTAACATAATTTTTAACTTATTTACTTAATTTATTGTGTAAGTGCCCCSGATTAGTGTGCTACTCGTGGCATGGTATGCATGTACGTATTATTATATTCATAATACTTTTGAAATTTAAAAACATCTACATGACTTACATAAGGAGTGTAGGTCATACCAGGGCTGACGGATTTAACTTTGATGCCAAACTCACTGAGATCTAGAGCCATATATCTGGACAATCCAAGAACTGCAGATTTACTGGTGTTGTAGGTCCAACGTTGAGACAAACCCCGATATCCACACACACTAGCTACATTCACGACAGAACACGAGCCCCTTTCCTCTAAATGAATAAATATTGAGGAAACTATAAGGACTGTGAAAAATACGGGGTCAAAAAATTTGCAGATTTTTGCTGTCCCCCTGTCCCTTTTTTGCTCTTTTCCTAACCTTTTTTCATGTGTGGCAGACATGCTTGGACCATATTGGAGCATCCTTGGACATTGACAGATAGCATCTTGTCCCAGTCTTCTTTACTCACGTCAATCCCACCTATACGTGATTAGGCAAAACCAGAAAAACGTAACTATAGATATTACATTGGTTTTTATAGTCCTCCAAACCCGACTAGCGGAACAAATGCAGACACCACATGACATCATTTGAGCTTGGTTCTTTTGCCTGGTTTCTGTGCATCAAAATTACAATGTGTAGCTCAGTAGAACATTATACCTATATATATATATAGTTACCTTTGGCGCGAAGGGGGCATTTAGGAGTTCAGAAAATTTCTGATTTATTTTGTAGGTACCATGTCATCACTTTTTTTCTGAACATCTCATATAGTAAACGTATTTATCATATAATTATCCATAAAATACCTATATTTCTCCTTTTCGAAAACCTGATATTTTCACATGTGAAAATAACATGGAGAAAATATTCTAAGTGACATGAACCAAGTGCTCCGTATTCTATGCCGCAGGGACGGCGGAGCAGTTTTTTGATTGGGGGGCTCAATAGTGACATTGTATGGCAAGGTGGGGGAGCTGAGTTTAGTGAAAATGTATTAAAATTTCACAAAAAGTGGGTTCCGGCGCCCCTGTGCCGAGCGAATACAGACAATCCTTTTTCGAATCAGTCCAGACTATAGGAAGCGCTTAATATACCATAAT